ATTTTAATATTAGATAAATTTAATTAAATAATTAATAAATTAAAAATAATTTTTATTTTTAATAAAATAAATGTTTAATACACTTTTAATTTTAACCAATATTCTTAGAGGATAAGGAAGACGAATTTTTTTTAATTAGGAAACCCTAAACCCAACTTCTTATCCCATGTAATCGGGTTAAGTCCATTTTCATCCTTCTACTTTAATTTTCTGTTCATGCCCGTCCCTGTACTAAGACTTTGTTCATTGTCATCCCTCTACTTTCCAAACACTAATCAACATCATCCCCCTACTGACCTTTTTCCATTAAATGTCATCCTTATTTGGACGTCGTTGCTTGAGAAATTATTGTTGACCGTTATACGCCGTTAGTCATCTGTTAACAGTAACACAATTCTTTATTTATTTTTCACTTATTCTAACTTAGTGGGGACCACATACTACTTTTCTTTTCATCTTCTTCCACTTCAGTTTCCCAAACTCATCCCTTTTATCCTTTTTTCGCAGAAACCTAGCGCCCAGCCCAAGATTAAATGAAATTAGCACTTTCCAACCCATTTTGCGAATTGTTATGATATATTTTTATTTTTAAAGAGAAAAATATAACTAAAAACTTATTATTAGAAATAAATAATAAAAGAGTTTATTATTTTATAATTTAAATTATATTAAATTATAAAAGAAGATTTTTTTATGAAAAAACTCTAAATATCAAGGTCCACTCTTATTTAAAGGTTCATATTTTGTAGTTTAATATAATATGAATTATAAAACACTTTCAATAATAAAATACCAAAAAAAATTTTCCTTTAATAAGTTGTATTAAACAATAATAATATCATTAAGTAATTTGTAAATTGTATACTATTTTATTTATTATTTTTAAGATATCACTTTAGATATCACATAAATTTATAAAGTTAAAATATAACAAATTACTATTTTTTAGTAAATGACATGATAAATCACTCAAAATATAGTATTGAAGTCTCAATTAGTTTTTAAAAAATACTATCAAAATCTATTGTATTTTTTCAAAATGAAAACTTATTCAAAAAAGGTTGTTATATAAAATAATTTTACACTTAAATACAAAAGAAAATTTATTTTTATCAACAAAAAGGTGGTTTGTGAGATAAAAGTCAAGGGGTAAAGAAAGAACTTTGATGGTGGAGTTAGAGAAATATGCTAAGTGAAAGATTATAGTAACTAAAAAAGGCATCAATTAAGAGAGAGTAAAGGGTATACGGGGCATTCAATTTTAATAAGTTGCTAAAAAATAAAAAAAGACTCCATAATTTTTTTACATTGAAGTGGCTTGGGATACAAAAATAAGGGCAAGAAAAGAAATAAACCTGTAGTAGAATTTGTGATTTGTGAGAGAACAAAATAAGAGAGGGAAAAGAAGAAAAAGTGAATGATGAAAGAGATAGGAAAGAGAGACCAAATAAGAGAGAGATAGGAAGACAAAGTGAGTAAATATATTGTTGCTATTTCTAATAAGGAAGAATTGATATTAGTATTTTAAATCTTAATTTTGATGTTGTTTTAGTAATTACACTTTGTTGGTGAGTAAATATCTAATTAGCTGAATTATGAGTTTTTTTTTTCCTTTTTTTTTTTATAAGGCAAGATCAGGCTAAAAAAGTTAGTCTTAATTTCGAAAGGGTGAAGTAAGCCATTACTTTTTCTTTCTATGATACTCTTTTCTTGCCCATAAATTCCAAATTATATTTTTGTATTTTGAAATTTTAATTTGATAGTTCATTCGAACTTGACACATTTATGTTATGTTATGTTATGTTGTTTTTTCTTTCTTTTTGTTTCTTGGTCTGAACTTTGCAATGCTATTTTGTGGTGTTAGTTACATACTAACTTTTTTTTTTATTAGTGAGAAGTTTATTATATCACT